ACACATCTAGATGTGTATAAGAGACAGGCACAGCACCGCACCCACTGACCTGTCCAAACACCCCAACCCCTTAAACCCCCCCCAGCACCCTCCCACAGGCCCGTAGCACGCTCGTACGGGGAGCGTACGTACGGCCGTATGCGCGTATGTACGTCCGTCCGTACGGCCCGTACGGAGACCCCTCGTACGACGTACGGGCGACGACACAGCTCTCTCTCTCTCTCTCTCTCTCTCTCGCTCTCTCTCTCTCACACACACGTACACACACACACGACCACCGTTGATCCCCGCAAAGCAACGCTCCGATAACGTGGTTCGGTCCCCCGCGCCCCACACCCCTACACCGCCGTTCGTTCGTGCGTAGGCCTGTGCGCCGACGCTTTCCAGTTTCCGCCTCTCCGCAACTTTCCGTTGGCCTCCACTCGGGCGTCGGTACCCGCCTCGGCCTGGGACTTGCCCCTGCGCCCGTTCGCCTGCCCGCATCCCTCGTGCCACCGCTTCGGCCGTCGGTACCCGCCTCCGCCTGGGACTCGCCCCTGTGCCGCCACCGGTTCCCCCTCGCCCCACTGCCTCAGAGCGCCAAACAGATTTTCGCTGGGCTCAGCACGGGGCGTCACGCTGGGCCCTTTGTTGTCTTTAAGAGTATAGGGATAAAGAAGAGAGTTTCTCATTTATGGGGTTCTTACCATTCTCACTACCATCAATTATCTTGAAGGAGGATCAAGGTAGGATGAGTGATTTCATAGCGTTTGACTGTTTACAGGGCAGTGGGCAGGCCTCGATACTCCAGTTAGTCTCCCGCTGCTCGTCAGGAGCCTGAAACCAACTGTCCTAAAGTAGTGCCCATAAACAAGCCACGATTTTAGGAAACGCACGGGCAACTACAGGAGAGTCCAAATTCATCTGACTAGAAAGACTCTATTTTTATCCGCGGCCGATAGCTGGGCCCAGTACTGGTGGTAAAAGAGGTTATGTCTCTCGGTTTTTCTGATAGTTGTATCTTCCATGCTTGCTGGTGATAAGCAACCGCACTGGTGTCCCCCGAGAAAAAGTGCCTTCTAATTGAAAATTTTTGCTGGCGTGTACTTTGGATCGTTCTACATTCGCACAGTTTGGAGTACGTTGGAGTCTGCATGGGAGCTGTGCTGTGCCATCTTGCTCCACCCTCATCCTACATCTCCATCTCTATCCCAGGCGGATCACCTCACCCGGTGGGTCCGCCACAAAGGG